AATTTTTTATTTTTTTCTATGCGACTGAGCGTCTAATAACATTTTGGTCGACTATTAGGGGGCAGCCCTAATAAAAACCGTGCATTACGTCTAAATTAACTCATAAAAATCAAATATAATTTCGTAAATTGCATAAACAATTATGAACAAAACAGCATCATGTATTTATGCATTGCTTAATCCAAAGAGCCGAAGCGCCATTCACACAGACTGCATTTAAAAACATATGAGACGCAGTGAAAAGGAATAAACCTCCACAAATTCGTGACGTGTTTTCTAAAAGTTTAAACTGTTTTAACTTTGCATGGCTCTATACATCTCTTGTGTGAGACACGAGTGCAGCAGTCGTACTTGTCCGTCTAAAAAATGCGCTGAATATGCGTTCTGTGTGAATGGCTTGGTTTCGGTTTTAACCTAATCAAGATCTTCTCCGCATTGAAGATGCTTCTCATATTTTAAATTAATAACACAGCAACGTCACTTACATCATTATCACCGCATCTGGCGCGCCATTGATGACGCTCACTGATGCACACCTAACATTCAAATGCAAATGTTTATTTTAAATTCGACTAATAATCATTCTCTATTCACAATCTCCTCATCACAGGCAGGCAAAGCACTCATTTCAGCATGTGTTCGTGTTTGTGTGTGCTGTCTGCGTCACTCAGAGTACGTGCCTATATCGTGCGCCATATCGAACATTTTTTCCATCGTTATCGAAGAAGGTGTACTGTCGATAAATATCGATACCGTTTTATCGCCCAGGCCTAAATATACATATATATATATATATGTGTGTGTGTGTGTGTATATATATATATATATGTTGTTTTAGTATGTAGTGAGGATCACTTATGGGTCCCTGCTGTAAACACAGATTTTTAAAGGAAAAAGGATTACGGGGAGAAAATTTAAGCCTATAGTAGTCAAGTTCATCTTTCCAAACTTGAACGGTCAGCAGAAAACCACATAATTTCTTCAGCGTACGTGTGTTGATGGCTCATTACACGTTTTTTTATCTTTTGAAAAGAGCAACAAACAAAACCAACCAAGCAACTACACATAAGATTTACTGTTTATATAGTATGACTTAGTTTTGTCATTGAAGCTTTTTTCCAAAATAAAGTTATTGCCCAAGTCTCTCTTTTTTCATCGGCATTAGCTTGCAGTCAGTCTACCTTAGCATGATGCTGCCTTTGTTGAGTTTTTACTTTTTTACAAGGCCAGAAATATGTGACAGCATGGGCTTGGTGTGTTGATAGAAAAGAATGAGACAGGACTGAATATTTCCTGATTCGAGAACACTGGCTTTGTTTCATGTCGGTGCTTTACAGTCGTGCCGTGCACAGGTTTGCTGATTGCGCGCTCATATCTTTTTATATAGCTGTCTCACTCAGTGTGGCTCAGTTTATCTTGTAGAGGGGGTCCAGCTTATTAATAAACTGTGCCCCAGGCAGCCTTTACATACGATGCATTCTGCAGTCATTTTTTAGCAAACATCAATTAATGCAGTTTCTGTGCCGGTTATTTTCAGCCAGAGCTTTTTCCTTCCATTATTTATGAGCACCGCTCACCAGAATATACAACTCGGCTGCACTCGACGCTGGCCTCCGAGGTTGACCTGGCTCAGAGGCATCTTGCATCATTTTGTCCAACCCTGCGTTGTGGATCGGAGGCAGGCGAACTGAAAGAGTTCAGCTATAGTGAGAGCAAGGGCCGAGGATTGAAGACATGTAGACATATAACCATGACGAGAAACCATATAGATGAAAAGAGCATTTGTGAAGAAGCATGTTATTTATCAGAGCATCAGACTGCTAAATCGCAGTCACAAGCACAATAGGAAAAACATTGTTAGCTTGAACTAGTTGCTTTAGCAACGGACACCAAAACTTGATCTTTTGTGTTTCACACAAGTCATACAGATTTTGCATGATATGAAGGTGAGTAAACGATGACAGAATTTTCTTGTGTGATATTGTCAAAATTATACCTCTGTGTTTCCAGGGATTTTGTTGTTTTATATCCCTCATATTCTGTGCATGTTTAGTTCACAGCAGTGGCAGAAATTAACTTTTCCATTAAGGGGAAATGTTTGTCCCTTTAACTTGTTTTCCAGGGACATTTTTACCTTTATAGTTTCTTTTGTAACCGTATCAGATTTATGCATCATCTTTTATGTCAAATTTGTACATTATCAATAAATTCAGCATCACAATGATCACATTTGCAGTCGTGCTGATATTCAGGAAAAACAGCACGCTTGCTAGTGTGATGTTGCTTAATTGTATCATATGATATAAATATAAACCAAAAACCCATAGAGGGGCATTTTTTGCCCCATGTCTTGAAAATCAAACTGCATTCTAATCGAACTACATCATACATAAACCTGATAGCCTGATTGACCTAATGTGTTGAGTTGGTGGCATGTGTTTTCTTCTGTATGGTCAGCCAGTTAGGCTAGTGTCATTTATAATTGCCACACTCCAGACTCCAGTGAGAGTATCATTCTCTCGGCACAGCTCTGCCCTCAGGCCACACACAAACATTTTTCATACTGACACTCACTTCACTCACATCAAAAACCTCCAATTAGATCCATTCTCTCTCAGCCTGACCCTGCATGCAAAAATAAGTGGGAATTCTGTCTGTGCCAAGTCTGCGCTATTAAGAGTATACTTCATTATGCACACACTCTCTGTTTCTCTCTCATCCTCCTGCTGTCTCGTTTAAGAAATTCTTTGACATTAAAAATTGTGACTTAGCAAAATCTCATTTATGTTTATCACAAATTAAAAATCGCATTGTTGCCAGGCAATCCTCTTATAATAAGCAGTTTTGGGAGACAGGCGTGCTGAAGTTATCTTTTACCCTAGCAAGAGCAGACAGAGCACAGGGAGCCGTTCCTCTCTCCTGCTCATCTCTTTACCAGAATGCCTCCAATTTTGACCTAAATAAAATGTGTTGCTCTTTTGTTGATAGATGCTCACTGCGTATGCTTTTAAATTTCTTGCACCTGAGTAATGCTAAACGCTTTTGAATAGAAATCAAAGTCACTTCACATCGCTCATCATCTCCATCCTGGTTGGCTGAGTATGTCTTTTTTGTTTTCCTGCAGGCGTCCACGCCGTACAGCCTGGAATCAGATAACTTGGGAATGGACTGCATCATCTCTGGAAGTGCCTCTCCAACGCTGGCAATCAACACTGTGACTAACAAGGTAGCTTTCAATCTCAAACTCCACAAGTCCTGGCTGTGTTTCTCCTTTCACAGCTGACACCAGCGGTCTACATGCCCAGTTTACATCTATATTTATCCTGCCATGACTATATACATGCACTTCATAACAGGACTGACATGTGATGCTTTTGTTTACACGGACGCTGAGAAAACTGGCATCAATTCTCATCTATATTGGGCTGGCATTATGTATACAAATCCTCTTAATGGTGCATATGCGGTGTATTGTGAATTACTAATCCCTTATTCTATTTATCTGTTGAGTCCAAAATGTCAGGTGTGCGCCTACACAACATATTAAGCAGTGCAAGTATACATTATTCTTCACCTTTGAGTATGGTTTACCTCTATGGTTCTCATTCAGTTAAAGCTGAAGTATATGATTTTATGTTAAAATACTTTCTCGTATACCATTTTCATATGCAGAACCAACTGTATTAATTTCCAGTTGTCCCTCCTTTTCTTTAAAAAAGCAAATCAAGCAAATCTTGGTTACTTTCAATGAAAGTGAATGGGGCCAGTCTGTAAACATTAAAATACTCACACTCTTTCAACAGTATAGCCACAAGACATAAATATGTGTGTTAGCATGAATTTAACCACTTACTAACCTTTTTGTGTGTAAAGTTATATCTAATTTTACAAATGTGTTGCCATAGCAACACAAACACTAAACTAAAACTAAAATGAATTTAAAAGTTGTCTACAGATTTACAGATTACACAAGAATAATTAATGTACGTGCTTTTAAAAAATGTATAAGCTTCACATTTCTGATTTTAAATCCTCAAAAAATTAGAACCTTTCACTTCTATTTTAAACGCCTCACTGTAACTTTTATATTTGCTTTTTTTAAGGGAAAACGGGTTGGATCAAAATTATTTTTGTGGTAATCAACATTAAGGTGAGGTCACATTTACCGTTGTCCAGTGGATTTTCACAGACATATCCAGTTATTTTAATAGGAATATATGCAATCAGAATTTTGGCATAAGGGCGAAAAGTTTTCTTATGCAGATTTCGCAGCAGGTTCAAGTTTGTCACCAAAATTTTGCCATGTTGACCAATAGAAATCTGTTTGTTTTGAAAGTGACTTTGGTAGCTGTGCTTTATACAGACAGTGGACCCAAGCCAGCTTAATTTGTGCTGAACGCAGAATATTCGTTTAAAGTGAAAGTTATGTTATACTTGTACTGCATCTATAAAAGCTTGTATAATGGTGCTGAATGGTTGAAGTACTTTTCTGCTAGAGAACGATGAGTTTGTTCAGTGTTTAGAAGTCTGATTACCTGCTGTATGCTTCTAGGCAGAGCTCCCAGAGTGTCTCACACTGTAACTCGCCCTCTGTGGCATGACTTCATGGAGAAGTGTATAAAAAGGAATGGAGCAAAACACTCTGAAATTTAAATAGGCTTTTTAACCTTAAGCGCTACACTCTTGGCCTGGTGCAGGCTGCACGCTCTCTCTGGAGTGCTTTTACAAAGCCCAAAAGCATCAGTTATTAATTTACTTCAGGCATTAAACCAATAGTATTTCACATTAAGCATGGTGTTTAAGATGAGGACTGAGGGGAATGTGGAATTCATTTGAGTTGAATTATAGTAAGTTTGGTGATCTGTTCATTTGGATAGAATGCAGTATGGTACTGTATATGGTATTTAGTTATAGTGTATATAGAATTGTAATATTTGCTACAACATTTGTCTGCAAAAGTGAGTTGTCCTAACTAAAATAGAAACTTATAAGTGACACATTTCCAAGTAAAAAAGTGATACTGTATTTTCAATTGAGTTTAACCTTTTTTTTTTTTTAAGTCTTTCTTTCTTTTCTTAGCAAATGTGATGTTGTCCAAAACAAGGTATCTTTTGGATCTTCCAGAGCATATGATCCCTTAATTGCTTCTGATTTTCGGAGTTTACTTGGTTTTGGAACATATCCTATAGGGATGGGCGATATATTTCTTAATTTCGGTCGATACGATATAATTCTGATATCGATATGAACACTATGAAAAAATGCCGTATAAAAACTGTCAAGAATGTCCACAACAGATGTCTTTACTTACAAACTTATGAAAAATTAATTTGCCAAGTCTATGACACCTCTTCCTATAAAACTATTTAATTTGTTAGAAAAAAAACAGCACAAATAAATGAATGTTCACCTTTTATTTGTATTTAGCCTTCATACAAACAAGAAATGTGAAATCACTGTCAAATAAACATCTCAGACTCACCTTATTAATTATTAATATCTTTAACTTCAAACTATAGACCAATTTGGAGTAGACGTCACAGTTACGTCACTTGCAGCTGCGCGCGCATAGTGGTTGCAGAAAAACACTGGGAACAAGTGGAGGTAAATGGGTAAAATCCATGGAATAAAAGAAAAAAATATTTTTGTGCCTTTTGATGTCAAGATCGGAATGCAAATAATTTTTATAGAATACTGTCGTCATTTGAAGCTAAACGCAGACGTTTAAATGGACATACTATGGATGAAAACTGCTATGATTACTCTACTTTTAAAGCATAAATTCGATTTAAACAATAGGTCTACATAATATTCACATATGCTGTTCATAGGGGACGTATTGTATTAGC